GGGCTGTTAATCGGTCCATCAGGTCCGTCTTGGTCCAAAGACTGGCAGTCGTTTAAAAAGTTAGACCGGACTGCGGTCTAGGACTGATTAGGACCGATCATTATGAGACTGGACGGACTGAATATTAGACTAATTATGTGCCACATAAGTTGCACCAGCATATTAATTATTATGTATTATTACCCGTTATTATTATAGACTCCATTCTTTATTACATAAAAGCTAGCTTTTAACATATATTTAATTCTGTTTATTATTATCAGGACGCAGGCCGATTTATCGATACTGATTTGGTTAGATGCACGATTATACTAAAAAAAGTAAATCCATAAAATAATTGTAATTAATCATTCAATAAATTACAAGAATAAGTTTAATTTGTTCATTTTAATGGCTGTGTTTCGAGAGAATGTGATTAAATGGCAATCGTTTAATCATTAGATAAATTACCAGAGTGAGTATGAAGTTTAATTCGTTAATTTTAAGGACTGTGTTTCGAAAAAATATAATAACCATTGCGTCCCACGTTATTATATATTGCCGCAATTAATTTATAAAAAATATCAATATTGCATTCTATGTCAACCATCGTTCCTATAACAACGTCCTACGTCAACCGTTGCGTCCTAAGTCATTATAGCGCTTTTGACATGATGACACGTCAATTAAACGTAATCATACGTCTTCAAGTGTCTGCATCTATATTTCATGAACCCTGTACTATAAGTATATCTAGACAATCATTTTAATTATAATAAATTTAAATTTATTATCGTTGTCTAAGCCTCTAAAAATTAACCTCGTATATACTGTATATTTTATAATGGTGCTTATAATCTAATCCTGACCAAATCACAAAAAATTAGGCTATATATGTTCGTTACAATTAACTTAATGTTAACTATATTTGGACCGATAGTCTTTTGGTCCGTCCTATAAAAGACCAGACTGACCCGGTCCTATGACGGACCGCAGGACCTGCGGCTTTAGTCGGACCGATTAACAGCCCTAATTATAAGGTTTTATTGCTACGAATAGCCATGAGATTTTGGTACAAGATATATTTATTTCATTCTTTACTAATCGTGAATAGTGCGATCAAGAATATTGAAGGATCAAATATAGTATAAGGGATACTTATTCTATTAATGCTAGATGCAAGTTTAGATCGTTTGAATTTAACATTAAAGATATTTACAGAACATCAAAAACGTAACTTACTGCACATGGTAATACTTTTAATGACGTCAATTCCGCATGATGACGTCAATTCCACATGATGACGTTAATTCCACATGATGACGTTAATTCCACATGATGACGTTAATTCCACATGATGACGTTATTCCACAGGCTGCAATTCCATAATCGATCGGCGATTCCACAAGCGATCGGCAATTCCACGTGGATTTGTGGAATTACTAAAATTATCAATGATCATCAATTCCCACAATCCACACTTGAACAAGTGTGGAAATTCCACAATTGCAGAAATAAATCCCCTGCATCACTAGTTATTACCTACAAAAGTTAAAGTATAAATTGGATGACGATAACGTTGCAATTTTTATTGGCTATGTTTAAATTAGGAATTGTATTACCAATACAAATAAGCAAAGGCGATTTTCAAAATTACAGTGCCAATCAAAAGCACAATTAATGCATCAAAAATGTAATTTTCATATTGCTTGGACAAACAATAAATACCCGCTGTACTCCCGAAACTTAATACTTTATACCTTTAAATCATTTATTCATCAATATTAGCAAAAAGTCCTCTCTTACCCCTTCCAAAATGATAGAATTACCTAATGAATGCCTTGAGGAAATTTTTAATTACCTTAAAAATTACCCTAGACATTTATTTTCATGTCTTCTTGTAAACCGACAATGGTGTAGAATTATTGTTCCAATATTGTGGAGCGAACCATTGAAGCACTGCATTGATAGAAAACTTATAAACATATATTTTTTATCATTGAATACTGAAGAAAAGGCACTACTAGCTCCATTAAATATATCGATTCAAAATAATCCAAAACTCTTATTTGAATATGCATCTTATGCTACATATGTTAATAATTATAATTTAAAAAAAGGAATCACGCATTATTTTTACTGTGAGGAATTTGAACTTTATTATAATGAATATTATAAAATAAGTGAAAAATACAGTAGCGTGGTTCAAACAGTCGAATATTCTTTAATGACAATGTTAGCACGAAAAAGTAAAAAAATCAAATATTTCAAGTTCAATAGAATGACTAGTAGCATATTAGAATTTATTTACAAAAGCACCACTATTACTTCCTTAGATTTTCATGAAGTTAAACTTAGTTTTGACGCTATAAAAACATTATCAGATGCTCTTTGTGAAAACGTCTGCTTGGTTTCATTAAAACTTCGATATTGTAATCTTGGTATGGAGAAAGTGAAAAAATTAATAGAGGCACTTTATGAAAATACAACTTTATCCACCCTAGATCTTTCCAATAATAATTTAGGGGATAACGGAGCAGAAGAACTTGCAAAGATTTTTTATAAAAACAAAACTATAACGTCCTTAATTCTTATGTATAACCAATTTAGCTTTAAAAGTGGAGAGATACTTGCAAAAGCTCTTTACAGCAATATTTCTCTGACATCCTTAAGTCTTTATGGTAATAATCTTGGCGTTGAAGGAGGTAAAGCATTAGCAGAAGCACTTTGCAGGAACACTAATCTAACCTCCCTAGATCTTTATTGGAATAATCTTGGTTTCGAAGGAGTAAAAGCTATAGCAGATGCTCTTTATTGGAATACCACTTTAACTTCTCTAAATATTGGATTTAATGAGATTGGTCATGAAGGAATAAAGGCGATAGCTAATGCTCTTTGTAAAAATATCTCTCTAACTTCTTTAAATCTTAGGTTTAATAATCTTGGTTTTAAAAATGCCAAGATATTGGCAGAAGCTCTTCGCAAAAACACTACTCTGACTTCCTTAAATCTTTCTTATAATAATCTTTGTTCTGAAGGAGTAAAAGCAATCGCGAAAGTTCTATATATGAACAATACCTTAACTTCGTTAGACCTCAGTTATAATAACGTTTCTTTTGACGGAATCAAAATGTTATCAGAAACCCTTTACAAAAACATTACATTAACAAATTTAGTTCTTTCTTATAATAGACTTGGATTTAAAGAAGCACAAGTTTTAGCAGAAGTTCTTTACAACAATACCTCTCTAATTTCATTAGACTTAAGTAATAATAAATTTTGTTATGAGTCAGTAAAATTATTAGTAGGTGCTCTTTGCAAAAACACAACCTTAATTGAGTTAAATATTTGTAACAATCAGCTTAGCTTTAAAGAATGCAAAATATTAGAAAGCATTCTTTATAAATATAATGCCTTAATTTTATTAAAGTTTATTTATTTTGAAATTTAGAATTTATATTTAATAATAAAACTAAATATTATATTTATTTGAGATCATTAATTATTCGCTTCATGACGTATCTGTTTAGTATTATTCATTTTACATATTATTAATTGAAATACATCATTTTAAACCTCGAGAAAGCGCATGATATTTGTTTCCCGAAGTTTTCTTGTAAGCAGAAAAATATTTTTTTACGATAATGCCAAAGATCAGATGCCAAGGGTTTTTCTAAAATTTTTTTTTCTTAAAGAGTTAATGAAATTTCGATATATGTGATTACATATTCTGTACAAAATTATGCCTGTTTTCCGATGAAATGCTTTTATACATAGGAATAGTGCATAATTTACACATTAATTATATCATTAAAGTAGCATGCGGATAGACATGATTTTAAATTTTAATTTTTGATAAGTTAATGTCAAGTTAAATAATAGGGAATTTACATGTAAGGACCGAACAATGAAAATAATTACAAATAAGGCCCAAAGCGAAAATAATTATAATCATCAGATTTTGAAATTTTACATTGAAGGCCAAAATAGTTGTATTATGACGATAGCGATTATTTAAATGTTATCACTATATATACTATTTTATACCTTTTATTTCATTAATGGGCTTTCTTTTAAACAAGATACAGTTCGATTACGCTCGAAATTTATCAGATTTATTAACACTTATTGTCCAATAAATTGACCAACCCTGGCGCTACAATATCAATATAAACATAATACAGTATCATATTAATATCAATATAAACATAATATCAAATTAATATATAAAAAAACCTGTAATTATGAGAAATATCTTCTTTTTGATAAATTTATTGTTGATTAACATTTAAAAAATCGATTGTTAATGGTTTACGCTTATAAGGAACCTTTAGTAAAATTATGGAGAGTAAATAAGAATGAGCTTCCATGACTATTAAATATTGAGAAGAACTTAATTACGATGGATGAAATTATTAGACCATTACTGTCTGTACAAGCTTCGGCGTAACTTACGTAGATGCAATGCAACATAAATTAATTATCAGTACAGTAAACTTCTCTAACGTCAAACCTTTAACATTATTACGTGATGTAAATCCACACGTAAATTTGGTTATTTATAAATTATCTAATCCACAGCTAATTTAATTGCCAAATATAAACAAATAATTGTATTGCTTATAAATATGACACATATATTTTTACTGATGTAGTACGTAATAACACTGTTATAATGTTAGAAAACCATAAAGGAATTATAAGGTTTAAAAGCATTTAAACCATTAAATCCATTGGTATTTTATCTGAGATTTTCGAAAATGAAGAAGATTCGATACCTCAAAAAAGAAATATAAATCATATTATACTTCTTGGATCAGGAATAGATAATACAGAAAGAAGGTAATAGTTGCGTTAGGTTGCTTTGTGAAAGATAAAGCAGACCCAAATTAATTTACATGGTGTCGGCAGGACATTGTTATAATCATAGCGATATAATTTTTATAACGAAGGGAAGTTGGGAAGTAAATTTTGTTCACATTTTTCTATATGATTATAACTTAATCAAGATAGAAGATTATATGTTAATAGGGGATGAACCAAATAGCATTAAACCAACAGCAATTATAAAGAAAACAAATTCAACTTTATATAAGGAATTATTTATCAAAGATATTAGGCTAAACCTAGTATTGGTACTCATTTATACAAATCTGACGCGAAACAAATGTTACCTGTGAGCGTGTAGTATCAACAAGATGCGCATCTTATATATGACAGTCACATCCATCGTATGTTCATAACAGATATATCGGGTGGTGCTCATTTCACCGACAATCACTTTACCGACATCTTAGTTCACCGACAATTAATTCACCGACAAGTTCATTTCACCGACAATTAATTCACCGACAGCTCATTTCACAGACAAAATAATTCTGGTCATTGTCGTTAAGGTCAGCTAGAATTAGAGTTAAGGTTAGTGTAATTTATAAAAAAACTTGTCGGTGATCGGTGAATTAGTTATCGGTGAAATGAACTTGTCGGTGAATTAATTGTCGGTGAACTAAGATGTCGGTGAAGTGATTGTCGGTGAAGTGATTGTCGGTGAAATGATACGTATCCGATATATCCTCTACTAAGGGTGATAGTGGTTCGGCTGTGCTTTCATATTCACCAGATTTGCGCGCAGTGAGTTTAAGTGATATACTTTCTGGAGGTGATAATCAAGTGACAACTGTTGTTCCAATAATTTAGAGCTTATAACATATATTGATAATTAATATATCATTATCCATAGGATGCTTATTAAACTAGCAAAACCATATTAGTTCGGCCAAATGGATAATTTTTTATAAAAGTCCTGATTTGCTGCGGATAATAATGACTTTGGTACTGTTTCTTTCAAATAGTATAACTATTAATTTAATTGTAAAAGGTAAAACTTTTTTAATTGTTTTTTTGGATTATATATTTTTAATTTGATTCAGTACCCTTCATATAGACAAAGAAACTATATCTATCAAGAAATTGGTGAGAATCTTTTACTGCCACAAATTAAATTTACAAAAGGTTTGGAATCTTGGAAATTTTGTGAATTTCCAACATATAGTGGTCTGCAGCTTTCCACGTCTTTTTGAAAACAGTTGTAATAAAATAATCAGACTGACCGACTGGAACTTCGAAATGAAGGTAAGGCCATGCAAAGTTAATTTTTCGTTTTGCATAACCCGCCGACCCATTTTTTTCAAAAAAATTTTTTTTTTTTTT